GAAGAAATACATGGGGGTGTGCAGGTGACAGTCATAGATGATCACTGAGATGAGGACTCCGTTTCCAAGCAGGATCACCAGGTACATCCACAGAATTACCACAAAGAAAATGGTCTGGAACTTCGGATGGGCAAAAAACCCAACCAGCACAAATCCTGTTACCGCAGAATCGTTGGCTCTTTCCATATTGCTCACAGCCTTTCTCCAACAGACATCTGTGGGTGATGAGCAGAAAGTTATTAATACACAACTACAGGAGCCACTTTAAAAATCATATTTTGTGTTACTATAGCTTTACAGTTGTCCACAACATTTTTTCTATAACAACATTAAAGCAAGTCTATTTTTTAACAGGGTGTGTACTACAGCATGGGAACAGGGGGTTCAGTAAACAGCATTACACAGGAGGGAGCCCTCCTAGACTAAAACTCAAAATGTGGCCAAGAAGTACTGCTTGTAAAGAGAGCAACTTCAGGCCTATTACAGTGAGTGGCAGGGAGGAAATCTTGTGAATGTTGCGTATGCGAATAAGGAGCCCAGGTCCTTCCTTTTCAGGGCTTGGCCACTCCAGGCGCCCTCTTCCTTCTTCCAAAAGGCACTGTACAATCTGAAGTGGAAAGAGCTGAGGGGTGGTAGGCTGTCTGGCTGTACTCATGTTGGGGTGCTGAATGGCAGTTTGATAGCCAGAGGGGATATTGAAGCTCGACGTCACAGTCCATTGGAGGAATGAGAGGGGGCAAAGGGACTCGAAGGGAAGGGGTGTCCTAATTGGTACCCTGTCCTTGTCCCCAGTGCAGCTGGCACATGGGGGAGGGTGAGAGCCAGGCATTCTCATGGGTCTCATTTTCCTCCTGAGAGATTTCATCCTTTTTAATCTTAAGGGGAGTTATAACAATTTAATCTTTGGGAAAATTTTTTATATAACCCCAGGCCACTGGAGTAGCAATCTCAACTCAACTTTCTTAGAGTTAGGGGAAAAGATCTTTCACTCGCAGACCTTTTTAATTACCATTTCCTCAAATTCTATGTCTTGACCCAGTGGCTACAAGTTACTTCCCAGCATCCCAGATCTAGCATAAAAATGTGCTTTGTTTAGTTAGTATTGCCCACACTGTGATTTAAATGAGAGTCAAATGTCAGTGTTTTAAGCTTGGGGGATCCAGCATCAAACCCAGCCCTTGAAACTTGGCTTCAAGTAAATTAGGATGTTAGGGCCTTCTTTGGGCAGTTGCAGCAGCTGGCGGACCAGCAGCCTAAGTCCAAATCCGGGCCAAAATTCTGCAGTGTCAGATCTGGGAGGAGTTCAGGTCATGGCTGAGAAGCTCTACCTCGTGGACTCGAGGAGGGCACCAGTGGTTCTGAAATATAGTCACGTTAATGGAAATGTGTGTATTAAAGTAACAGACTATTTAGTTTGTTTGGTGTACAGAACAGGTCAAGCTCATGACGTAAAGAGATTGAGAAGTTGCACAGTCAGTTGATGCGACTTATGATAGCCAAGGAATCCCGCAATGTTACCATGGAAACAGACTGACAGTTTGCAATGAAGATTCTGTTTGTCCTGTTTGATGGAATTAAACATCTTTTGAAAGTGATAAAATATTGGAACAGAAAACACTTTATGTAGCTAAGTGAGCTATTCAGAAGCCAAGAGATCATTTCTTTGTATTTTCTTTTTAATGTTTACCATAGAGTTGTAGGAATATAAATGCTGTCATTTAGGGAAATTTTTTTTTTTTTTTTTGGAAATTGAACAAGAAATGTATCTATTTTGGAAAATTTTTGCAGAAACTAGTTGATTTTGGGATAATGTATAATCATTTCTCTGGTAAATATGTATCAGTAATTTTAAAATGAAATACCAAGAAATGAAGGTCTTACATTTAGTTCTTTTGCCTTTAAGAGAAAGTTAAATGTAACCATTTTGGTGGATTGTTGTGTTTCTTTTGGAGCATAAGCTTTGCGCTGTTAATAGTAAAAAAATATAAGTGGTAATTAGAATTAACTGTGCAATATTAACCTGATTTTTTAAAATGAATATCTAGTTGCTAATAGTGTAGGCTGGATTATGCCTACAAGTAGTACTAGGTGTGCTTTATCTTAGGCCTTCCCAACTTAAACTCTGTGGTGACTGACTTTGGTTCTGGTTTTTAGTGGTGAAAACAATAGCAATCATCTGAATGCACGGGTGGAATGATGGTTACTGTGGGGGGCTGACCCACCACGTGAAGGATATTTTCTATGCAGTTCCTGCCTGGAGTTTCTCGGCAGGACTGCAGAGTGTTCCGGCTGCTAAATCTTTATACTCTGTAGTGCCGTGCTCGTTTCTCCCTCTAAGATGTTAAGAATGACTATCAAGTTAAAATTTTTTTTGTAATGAATAACTAGCTTGGAAAGTGACATTAGCCATGAAAATATTGACATGGTTCAGAGAGATCAGTAAATAAAATAGTGTGTGCGTGTGCGTGCACGTGCGCGTGCGCGAGCGCACACACACACACACACACACACACACACACACACAATCAGGATGCAAGAAAGCACAGTCTTTCCACGGTCAGCAGCAGCAGTTCAAGCCTGTGGTTCTGTCTGTCAGTGTGTTCTCCTCACTCACTCTTTCCTCTCTTGTCAGCAAACGTGCACATGGGTTGACAGTTACCTCCAGTTGGGCTCAACCATTTGCATTATCTGAAAGAATCTTATTTTCTCCTTTGTATTTGAAATACTGGCCTGTGGCTTTAGGGCTGCTTCTCTTTTAGCTGCAGTAGGCTTTCCATATCACCATGATCCTACATAAATATATTGATTTTTATTTAAATCTGAAGAACTTTTAGGTTTTATTGCATAATATTTACATATTTGTGTTTGTCCAGTGCTAAAGTAAAGATTTTTGATTTTTTTCAATGGCGAAAAGAACATGTGCTTGAAGTCATAATGTGGGTTAACACAGTCAAGGATCTGTACAGCTCAGTGTGACCTCCTGGTGTTGGAACAGCTCTGTGTGCCCCTCGTGGGAGAGCAGTCTCACTGAGAAGAATGTACTTTCCTGTTACTCTAGCACCTTCCTCGATATAAGGATTTATGTCTTTGAATAAATTGTAAAAATGAAATTGAAATGTATTGAGCCTATTGATATAGCTGTTTTTATTATGACTAGATGTTATATACTGTATATTGTAAAGTCCAGCTAATCATTATTTTGTTTTATATTTTAGGGAAGGGTCTACATGGTGTTCAGGGTCTCACTACTAGATTGTACTCATAGTAATCCACCTGTGTTCAGCCTCCCAAAAGCTGGGATTACAGCTATGTGCCACGACACCCAGTCTTGTACCTGTAATCCCAGCTCTTAGAAGGCTGAAAACAGGAGAATCACTACGAGTTTGATCTAGGAGTGAGACCCTGAACATCCTGTAGACCCTTCCCTAGAATACAGAAAAAAAGGAGGTACAGGAAACACTCAGTGAAGTTGAATTCATAATTTCTATATAAACTATCTGAAATTCATAAGCAGGAAGGAACTTTCTAATCTTGAAAGAAAACTATATACCACAAAATGGTACAAAACTATGTATTGCATTTACTAATATTTAATTAATATAGCTGCTAAATTTTTATCTAGAATAAGAACAGCCACTCCTAAAGCTACTATTTAAAATAAGCTCTTACCAGGGCAATGCTCAAAATCATGAAAAGAACATGGGGGAAATAGTGATAGTAAAAAGTAATTAAACATCCGTAAGTTCTAGTGAGAAAAACTAGTGAGGCCTCTGGCTATAAAATCAATGGAAGAAATCAGGAGTTCTCTCCTTATTAGCAGTAAGTTCAAAACAATTTATTGTGGAAAACATTAAAAATGAATATAAAAATAGGAAAAATAATGCATTTTAAGAAAGCCTGTGCATCATCTTTTAGAAATCATTTAAAACTTGAGGTATGATAAAAAATGAGTTATTGTAAAGATACAGCTTGTGACTACCTGAGATAAAAATATCAAAACCCGAGAAGGGCGGTCTGAAGTAACAAAACAAGAAAGCAGACAGAGAAATAATGTGTAGGGGCTAGGTGAGGGGAGTAAGGCAGAGGAGAGGAATGCTGGTTTCTCCATTTGTGAGGTAGATTAAATGTAATTTTAAACAATTTTAACGTATTTTCCAGGCAATTGGCAGCCACCAGAGTTGACCACGTGGTATTTAATATGAAAAGATGGAAAAAAATTTATGTAGAGACATTATTCAGAATAAAGTCCTTTTCTCATCAATATCCCAGTAAGGTCTGTGCTTGGTAGGGTTGTAAGCACTGCTTTTCAGGGCAATCACTGGCTCCATGGCTCAGAAAGAAACTGAAAATTATCTTCTTTTGGCAATAGACACATAATAATAATAATAATGATAATAATAATAATAATAATAATAATAATAATAATAATTCACTTTAGGTAAAGTTGATATAAAAAAGTTTTATTTTTCTGGACCAAAAAGACAGCCTTCCGTTTCCTCTAAGTTGTTCTCTCAGTTCTGTCAGTGGAAACTCAGGTATATTTTAGTTTCAGTTGAAAACAACATCCCAGGGCTGGAGAGATGGCTCAGTGGTCTAAAGCACCTACTTAGAACAAGCTTAGCAAAAGCATCAGGGACCGCGGTTCAATCCCCAGCACCACATGCCAGCCAGCCCTGCCCCCT